TCCAGGCTGGAAAATATGTCGTTTTTCGACGATTGTGTAAAATATTATATTGTGTAAAATATTATATTTCAAAGTAAAGGGCGGTTTGCTGGGTGGAAAATAGTGCTAACCGGATTTTATATGAATTTAAATATACTAGTGCCCAGGTCCCAGGTTTTTAGAGAAGTCTAATGTTGTGATTTTGACGCCGCCATATTGACAACATGTTTGCATTCTACATCGTGCTATCTCGACTTTAAACTTAATAATTCAATCAAAATAAACTCTCACTACATGGTTGAAAATACCGGAAACTTTCCATCTGCTTTATCAAATCTTGCTCAGGAGGCGAGTAATCTTCTGGATAATTTCGATGATAGAAATACTTTGACAATTGAACGTCGTCTGATAGAATCAAATTCTCAGGCAACTTTGACTCAGGAAGATGGGGAAATATTGGAGGAAATTCTTTGCCCGTAACTTCTCTACCCCTAAATCGACCAAGTCTTCCGTCCAACAGACTGAGTCAATCCATTTCAAACTGCCCAAATTCAAACACAAATAATATTGCAATAACACGTGGGCAAAGAAGCAGTGCAGATGTACCCGCTGCTGTTCGACGGTCATTTCCAACACTTTCATCAACTACTTCATCAAAGAAAATCAAAAGACCACCATCAAAAAAGATAAAGAAACATTGTATTGTTCACAAAGATCTTGTCCTACTTCCATCTTCCACATCTCAATCACCAACTCATCAAACAAGATGTCAGCTTGAAAATAGAGGATTTGTAGTACATGGATGCCCAATTGACAAGACTTGGGAACAGTTTGAACTCAAAAACAAAATATATGGATGGTTTCCTATCTTAGAAGAAAATAATATTGATATTGACTTTGTCAAATCTTGTTATGGTCAAATTGTCACTCAAAACTGGCAGGAGGTGTTCAATTCACTTCTGTTCGAGTTTTAAGCCTTTCCGGACAAGGAAGTATTTATATAAGACCAAAAGAGGATCTTCCCGATGATGATGAAGGTACATTTAGTCCAGGAACAGAAACATTTTCTGAAACATCTTTGGATATGCCAAGCTCTTTAGATTTCAGTCAAGAGCAAGTTTTCAATAACAATGAGCCATGCTCTTCATCTATAACAAGTAATAAAGGGAGTGAAGCTACATTAAGAGAAATGTTCCCAAACAAGGATGATGATGTGTTGCGTCATGCTTTAGAAGTAAGTGGGACTGTAGATAGAGCAGCTTTGGCACTTTCTTCAAACAGCAACGAGCAATTATTATCAATTAATGAAGATACTGATGATGAAGTTCTTATTCAAGGTGTCTCTTCTTTGTCTGAAGAGGAGACGTTAAATTCTATACTTAAAGATCTTTCAAAAAAACTATGTAAAGAAAAAGAAAAATTAAAGTTGAAGAGGAGGACATTTTTAGTGATGCAATGTCCTATTATAAAGATCCCAATTTTGACGAAAAGAAACCATTGAGACTTATTTACAAAGGACAACCAGAAGTTGATACTGGAGGGGTTGCCAGGCAGTTTTTTACAAATTTGCTCATAGTCCGGAGTATAAGACCTAGCATTGTTCAAATTCATGAAGAAAGTCTCAAATTCACTATTTTGCATTGGTTTATCAATGAAATTAAAATAGAGGTGAGACCCCAGCAAAATACCTTTTTGTTTCCAAGAAAATTATCAATAAATTTTGCCATATATTTTAATAGTAAAGGCACAGGGATCCCATTTCAAATAAAAAGAAAATCGACAAAACAATTTAGTTCTCATCGCATTTATATCCTCTTGGAAGTAAGTATTATTAAGCGATATATAATTCGTATAAATTGTCATTTATACCAGTAAATTTCACATACTTTCAATAAAAAAATGAGAAGAATATTTGGGATTTCTTGATTTATTGGTGTTATTAAATTTTACAAGAGCATGAAAATGTTTAATAATGATATTGTATCACCTGTCGTCTTCACTGCAGTGTATTCTTTTGATTCATTTTCGGGATTATTTAGGAATATTACTTACTTATTAATCTTGGTAACAGCTACCACCACATTTGCACAATGCTGTGCATGGAAGATTGGACTTGGTACATTTGCACAAGCCCCTACATGCTTTCTTGCAACCACAGTGCACCAGTTCGTTGCACGCTTTGGAAGCCTCTGGAAGAGTGCTCCATGTAGGAATCCATCTGCCATTATTTTGCCATCCCCACTGCGAAGGAAGCGGTAACTGTTGAACTGAAACTAACGACTGACCCCAAACATGACCAGCCTGATATGTTGCCCTCCGAATGTGCTGTACCAAGGAGGCTTGGGTTGGTGGAATGTGGTCGATTGTCTTAGTACCTTGTGCAAATATAGCTTGTCTAGCATCATTGATGTTGGAGAGCGGGCATGTGCGGGAATACATAATAATGATAAATCTTTCAATTTTTCCATTTCTTCTTCTGAGATGGATTTTTGGAGATGAAAGAAGCTGAAACACACTGGTAACATCAGGAAAAGACTTCCAGGCTTGAAATGCAGTCTTTTTACCTTTTCCAGCAAAGAACGACACAGTATCACAACCAGTGACAGCATGAAAGAAGGGTAGGGCTTCACATTGCTCCCTACTCAACGAGCTTTGTGTAATGTTATGAATTGGTAAGTACCTCATGTGTTTACCAACACCAAAAGCAATCCAAAGTTCATCTACATCTAACTTGTGCACGTTTGCTATTGCTAACACAACAACATCTGTGTCTACAGTTCTTATGACAATTTTCCTCATTCCACCTTTCGCTGCATGGTTTGCATGAATGAAAATGCGCGTATCGGCCTCCTCGTGATTGCAGGGAGCTAACTCATCTTTTTCGATTGGCTTCGAACTTATTATGTCTTCCTCAAAAGTGCTTACAATTGTAACATTTGGCAGTTGAATCGATGTTGCTGCCTGACTGAGGTACTTGAAAAGTTCTTGTTTGTTGTCATCTGATCTTAAAAATGATTTCCAGTTTGCAGGGATCACAGCCATGTCACATACTCTTCTTCTTGCCCTACAGCGCCTCGCGATGAACGAGTACCCTGCTTAAGGCTGTCGGGTATATAACGGTCCCAAACAAGATCTATTCTTCTAATACCATTTGCTTGTTGAACAATATAAGGAACAAACACTGATTTGGAGTATTCTTGAAAGGTCTTACACTTCCCTGGGCTAAGCATGTTTACAATAGCTGCGGCATCCAAGATTTTGACATCAACATTTGGACAGGTGGTCTGCACATCAGCTTCGAGACAATCAATCAATTCTGATTTCTGGCCACTTCGCATCTTGTCCCCTGATGATAATGAAGGAGGAGTACTCTGGTTTTCATGCTTAAAAATTCTTGGAGATTCCTTCTCTTGACTGACAAGCAATGTACAACCTTGCAAAAAGATTGCAGTCATTCTTTAATGTTGTGACTTGAAGTTTCGTCTTGTTGGTTGTCGTTGGTACTGATGTTCCAAAAAGTGGAAGCTTATTGCGTTCAATTGTGTCAGTTATTGGTGTGTTACACTTTTCAAGTCTCTCTTCGACGTACTTAGTGTATTGTGCTTCTCCGATCTTTCGAGCTGTATAAATCGACTCTATAACACACTCAGGCTCTATTTCTTTCGTATCTACGACAATCAGATCCTTGCTATTTTCCATAAAGGGTTTCCAAACTCCTTTAATGCAGCAGACATTGATTTTACATCTTTTGCAAAGTTCTTTTGGACAGATGGTGTCTGTTCGTGGTGAGTAATGTTCTTTGTAGAACACTGAACGCCAAAGGAACACTCAAACTCTCTTACCAGTCTTGCAATTTCAGGTCCTGCGATCATCCAACGTCTTAGGGCCGTTGGGCACTCGGTGAGGCCCACTGCTCCACCATCACCTTTTATCATTTTGTTCTCTTGCTCGTGGTTTTGGTCAAGGGACATCATAGAAAAACGATGTTGGGACTTCTGAACCACAAATTTTCCATGTGCACTAAACTCTGTAAAAAGAGTAGGATGCGTTTTCTCTAATCGTAAGAGATCTCTCACATGTACTGGCAACCATCTAGAGTAGTTAGACAAGTTCATCGCAAAAAACCAAGGAAGTACCTTTCCAAGCACTTGTAAGTAGACTTGGAAGTTACCTCTCTGGTAGCCTTAACAAACTGCAGTAGAAGAATTTCGAGGTCTAATACTGTCGCCCAGTATTTGAATTGCGGGCAAAGCTCACTTTGTTCTTTTATCCAAGCTTCATAACTTTTGGGGCTTGTCTTCACAACTTTCGATGTACTCCTGGTAAGCAATTTTCTGCATAAGGTAAATTGCACAGGCACTTACTTGGTGGACATAGCGAGATCTCGTCACGTGCGATCCTTTCAAAACAGAATCCGCTCTTCCACTTGTCATAACCTCAGCATGAATTAGAGCACTTCAAAGTAAAAATATATGTTAGTTATTAGATTGAGATTATAAAAACAACAAATCTACACCATACCTTGCCCACCCACTGTTAGTTAACCAATGTCCAATCATCTTTAATATTTCCATCTCAATATGCAGGCCACCCATCATTACCATGTACTTATCTTCACCGAATTCATTTTGTTGTTCCACTGTATTTGCTTAGCGAGTGCATAGAGTGGTTGGTCCATCGCTATAACAGGAGTTTGATTAGGGTTTAAGAACTTAGTAGATTCTTTGACGGTTTTCATTGCATGCTTTATCATAGCCATAGTATGAGCATTGTCTTCAAAAGTGGCAATAAAGAGGTGATTGCATTGGGCCTCAAAACTACGTTTTGCTCAGATGCAAAGTAAGCTGACCATGATAAGTAATCCTTTTCTTCAAGCTTTTCTTTGAGTAAAAGTTCGTCGACCCTTTTTAGCCATTTCTCCTCTTCCTTGATGCTTTTATTTATCAGGTCGTGTTTAGGTTTAAAAGAGCCAGTGACTTTGGGACAAAAGAGATCCTTTTTACCTTCATCTGTGACAGGAGTTACAGTTGTATAGAATTCAGGTAAACTGTTGACGACCTTTGACTTTGTGGGAGTGTTATCCTGTGGCACTTGTTCTCGTTCTTCTCCTTGTGAGTCAAGAGAAGGATGTTGTGTAAGGGAAATTGCTGTTCCATGAAATGAATTTTTAGCGGTTCTTGAGGACGATGGACCAACCACTCTATGGACAATTGTTCAAGTCTTGAACAATAGAGCTCTGACAATTGAGACATCTTGAAAACTGCTTCACCAGCTGCCAGGCTTTCACTAATATATAGGCTTAATTCTGCAAGGGCTATTGCCTCAGGTGTTATTTCATTTTTATCATCAACAGCACTATCTTGTGGTTGGTTTAATTTGCTTCTCTGACGGTTATAGAGAGATGTCAAGCATGATTTATGGTAATATGCATCTCTTGCATGCATATCACCTTGTGCTAATTTTGCTAACAGTTTGTAATCTTGAAGCGTCTCGGCCGCTGATTGAACATTATTGGTAATTGACATGGTTTCTGCTTTATGCAAATCACCCTCTGTGCAATCACAGAAAAAACATGATAAAGCATTGCTACTCTTACTTGACAATTCAAATGTCTTTCTTCTTGTTTTAGCTGGACTAGTAGCTCCTAATAATGCTGGATCCTCAGTTGAAAATTCCTCTTCACTTTTGCGCTTTTGTGCCCGCTGAAGCTTTAGCGTATTGCATTTATTATAGCACGATTTGTGCCATGATGCTCTGTGATTTCTTAAAGTATTTTCAATGCCTGTTAAAGTATTATTATAAGGCTAAATAAGTACAATTTATGGCTCATAGTTGATCTGTGAGTTTATTTCACTTTTAATTGATTAGGAATTCCTTACCTCTGCCATCATCAAGAGAAGAAAGTGGAATGTTAATAGGTAGCGAATCAAGTTTCTCGAATTCTTTCAAGTTTTCTGCAATTGTCTTGTAACTTGAGCCAGCAAGTAAAGTATTTGAAGCTTTTTCCGGACATAAAATCTTTTCTTTTGTGTCTTTTTGACATAAGGCACAAAGGTTCCAGTTTAAAGACATTTTAAAAGCGAAAAATAATCAAAAAAATTATCGAGAAATAGCACTATATCGTTTGGAAATGCCAAATTAACTAGGCGACCAGGCTTTTGCCACAGGGAGCCCAAAATTTATGCAGTTTTCGAAATAACCTTTAAAAAGGGTAACTTTCGACAATTAATTAATTTTTACCGGAATTTTCATGGTGTTTTGTTGTTTTTATATAAAATACAACATTTTTATTTAACATTTTATATTTAAAACGGTTTTATAAAAGCCTCATTAAGCCCGCGATTTAAGCCGCTGACCAAACTTTTAATCGGCTCAAAAGTACCCTAAACAAGCTGATCCTGCTGGGGTCTCACTTTTATTTTGATCTATAAATCAAATTAGCAATTTGTGGTAAGTTTCATGCTTTCTTCACATGTTTGAACAATCTGACCAATTTTCGGAGCTTATCCTCCGGACTATCAATAAAGTGAGTGAAATGTTTTTTGAAGGTGATGCCTGCCGAAGTCCAGTATAAAATCCTGGTGTTGTTGCGTCAGGAAATATGAAATATATTGGAGCAATTATTGTCCATAGTATTTTGCAAGGTGGACCTAGTTTTCCGATATTCAGTCCTTCGGTGTACAGATATTTTTCCACTGGTAATTTTGAACTGGCTATGAGAACTGCAAACATTGGAGAATGTACTGCACACATAAAGAATTTCATTGATCAGGTGATATGCCTAATACACATTGTTTTGCATGGTTTAAGCAAAAATTATAAAACCTCGGCTTTAACTGATAATAGTATAGCAGGTCATTCATGGTATACAAAGCAATTGTGAGGGATTACATAGGGTTGAGTAAATATCAGGATGCAGTGCTTAATCGGTTCTCAGTATTTAAAATAGCTGATACATTACTTCTGTTAACCTGTCAAGCTGCAAAAGTCCTCTTTAACAAGTTAAGGCGCATTGTGTTAGCAAAGTAAAGTAAAATGTCAGGGCGCACTTCACACTGCCACTTAATATATCAAACCATTGAGCATCAATGCATCTAAGTTTGAGAAATAATTTCAACTGTATTAACTTAGAATTATTTTAGTAATTGATCTAACAACTCTATCATTGCAATGTTGTGATTTCTGTTGTATATGTATTGTAGATAGATGATGCTGATGATGTGCAAAACTTAGATCAGGATGAGTGTCTCAACATCATGTCTCAATGTGGCCTTACAGAAATGTTAACTGTATGTATAATGTGATTTTTTTCAGATATTTTTTAGTTAAAAAGCCTTATGGTGTCTGCATTCACTTGTTATATTTTACTTGACTAAATAATGATAAGTATGATGCTAGTGATCCTTTGTATACTTGGAACTAAATAGGTAGTCGTGCTACGCATCTTTGATTATTTATATGTCCATTGTCTTGGCCATGGTATATTACTTAATATGATGCAATTGGATTTGAAACATAAAACGTGACCATAAGCAAAAAGAATCATTGGTCTGTAACGCATATATAGTTTATGAATTTTTGCCCTTTATTTATCAGCTTTTTGTTTATTTTTTATGTATTGTAACTTTATACCAGAATGAAAATAAAAGGAAGATTATTCAACTACTAATCATCCATGATGTCATTGGCCGGCGAAAGATTGCTCTTGACCAAATTGCCGAAGGATTGAATGCACTTGGATTTAGAGATAAAATGAAAGAATTCCCAGACAAGTTTCAAGAACTATTTGTTCCATGCAGTGAACGTGAAATGAGCCCATCAGCAGTGGTTGATGTTTTTGAGTTCCCAGATGTGTTAAATGAATGCGAGTCAACAATTGCTAATAATCTGCAGCAATTTATTCTTAATGCAGATCATCCAATTTTTGAAAAATTTCTGATTTTTACTACAGGTTCCACCAGACTGCCAAATTTTGGATTAGGTAAGATAAAAGTAAAATTGAATAATGCCACTTCGTTTTTTGCTTGTACTTGCCTATTTAGTGTCACTCTTCCAAACCAGCTTATTGATCAAAAGTCATTCAATGCATCATTAAAAGCTGTTCTTGAGTCATCTAAGCAGTCTTTTACTTCTCCGTAGGAATGTAAAAGTAGGCATTCATAGACTACATAAGAATAACTGTTCTTGCAACAAATATAGTTTGATGAAATGTTACGTTTTAGTTTTAAGTATTGTTAGTGTTTAACTGTTAAAGTTTTGGAACATTTTTTAAATGTTATTTTTCGTTAAATTTTTATAGCTCAGTTAAGATATTGGCAATAAAAATAACAATTCTTGGATTTACGTAGTCATTATTTTTAATAAGTGACATCATAAGCAGACAAGAAATTATGAAATTTGCAAAAATAGCCTTGCCATGAAGAAGGTGGCTGCTTTAGAAGAATCATATCATTTTACCCTTGTTGTTACGTCATATCTGTTAATGAAAGTACAAATTCAAGATAGCAAAAGCATTTTGATTGTTGCTTAATAAATTGTTTTTATTTCAATGTATTTACTCGGAAATTGAAAGAGTTTCCAATGTTTCAAGTGTATTCCCTAACATAGATGGCAGACCTAATTTTTGTTGCCAATTCTTACTGTAATAGTCGACATTGTTTGACAAATTGTCGAAATTAGTCAGGCATATCTACGTATATTATTACATGAATAATACAGAGCAATCTTACACATAGTTACTGTGTGCCTTGATATATACTTCAATTGCATTGACATGCGTGATCATCAGGGGCGGATTATCTGGGGGTGGCAGGGAGAAGTGCGCCTTCCAAAAAATTCCCCAGCACCCTCCTAAGAAAAATTCTAAAATGGGATTACGTAATTCAGATGTTTAATATAACAGTATTAGAGGCTATGAAATTGTACAGTAAGACTGAGTAAAGGTTGAACTTTTCATTTCAAAAGCAATTATATATTTTATATAACCACCATTTTCAATCGAGTATTACCATGTGCGTTTTCATGAAAACATTAAACTTGAAATTAATTACTAAGTGCATGCTCAAACAAAAATTATACAAATTTTTTTTAGAAAGGTAACAACATTTTCTTTATGCAAGTGGTTCACTCTTCTGTAAGCCTAAAAATTTTCAAAACATTGCGTTAATGGCATTCACAACATGCATGTACGTGTGAACTTTGTCAAATAAGTTGTTGTTTTGACTTGCTAAAGCTGTATTATAGGCAAACTGATCTTCAGTTAAATTTAGTGTGATTTCGGGTACAACCACACCAGCTACATTTTCAATTTCATCACGTGCTTCGATTTCATATGATTCAACTTCATTGCTTGATAGTACGTTGTCTAAAGTTGAGTTGCTTTGTGTTGCACATCTTACAATGCTTTCTGACCAAAGTTGCAAAGGCGATAGCCCTCCTTCAGTACTGATTCCATGGTGATTCCATTGATTAACAAACTCCTGTAAGGACTGATTAATGACTGCGACAAAAACAAGCTGTAGTGCAATAAGATGTACCTCATTGGCAGGATCAAGAAGACCTGAATGTTGCATCATGTTAAATTGATCAATATAAGCCTTATTAGTCCAAGAAAAGTGCAATTCCCTTAGACATTCTACTAATCTCTTAGATATTTCGAGTCGCGGTTGACCTCTTGTGCCTGTGTACCTTCTATGGCAATTGTAGGTTGGAGTATAAGGTATCTGATTCTGAAGGTCGTTGATAAGGTTCTGAAAGAAACTCTGAAGTCGACTTAAATAGAAGGATAACTGGTGCATGTCATTATAAAAACTCGCCATATCAAAATCATCCATAAGATTTGATGCTCTCTGTTTTAACGCGAATACAGTGTCTCCAGCATCTGAAAGTCGCTCATGTATGCGCTCTAAACCGTCAATATTGTCAAAAAATAGGTGTTCTGAAATGATAAAATGCTCTACTTCAGCAATAATTGCTTTAGTTCTCTGAAAGAATGAATAAAGACTGTGTTCCGAGCCTCCAATGCCTCCTAAAACCGCCATTTTGAATTTGAGAAAAAAGCGCGTAAACCCAGAGCCCTCTATAGTATAAGAGTTGGGACAAACGGTCTGGGGCGAGCGCGGAGCCGCCATTTTGGTTCCTACTTGCAAAGTGAAACTATAATAATACTATTGGAAATTGGGTTTATATGCGAAGAAGAAAGCAATTTAAGCTTATTCCATGGTAGTATCAAATGTATAAGGAATAATAGCAAGCTCTTTGCGTTTTTTAACGATTTGCGGCAGACCTGATTTAATTTCTTTGGTTTGAGCTTCGTTTGCAGTTTACGGGGTTTGCTACAACCCGGGCGATGATCGGGGACGCGCCTATTAACTTCCTGGTCAGCGGCAAAAGTCTTGACATATTAATCGCTATAAGTACAATATGTTTCTTGTATAAAATTTTATAACACAAATCAACACAAAGTATACAGCACAGCGCCCACATTGTATTATATGTTCATTTGGCTTTTACAAAATATGCGGTCTTTTTTATAACGAATGTTACTGCAAACGCGCATTGTGAAGTATATTATTCTTTGTTATTGAGCTTGCTTGTAATATGTTCTAAAAGATATTGATGATGCTAAAAAGTATTCTAATCGGTAACAAAGTATACAGCACAAAGTATACAGCACAGCGCCCACATTGTATTATATGTTCATTTGGCTTTTACAAAATATGCGGTCTTTTTTATAACGAATGTTACTGCAAACGCGCATTGTGAAGTATATTATTCTTTGTTCTTGAGCTTGCTTGTAATATGTTCTATAAGATATTGATGATGCTCAAAAGTATTCTAATCCTAAGTATTCTGCTCAAAACCTGTCGTCACTTTTATAACAAATGTTGCTTCAAACGCGCATTGTGACGTTAATTTACGTATGAGATTAAATCTAGAAGCTACTACTTAGATCATAGGAAATGGCCTATCCTCAATGCCTATACTCATTATGCTGAATATTCGCGCACTTTTCATTCTTACGTATATGTACTTGCGTTTTCCAAGTGCTTTATCGGTCTCGCCTTAACTGCACCTAGATAGCCTATCCTTAATTTATATGTTCAATATTCGTGCACTTTTCATTCTTACGTATAGGTACTTGCGTTTTTCAAGTGCTTTATAGGTCTCGCCTTAACTCCACCTAGTTAAGAAAAAATATAAAAACCTCGCATCAAAAGTGAAAAAAATAGTGGGCACATTACTGGCTCGTGGAATGAAATTCATATAAAGACGTATAAGCGTTCGTGTGTTTGCTCTGGCTCATTATTAAACATTTCAACAGACTAAAATATATTAAGGAACAAATTTCATGTTTCATATTCAGTATATGGCGCAGACAATTCTTCAGCGTGAATCTGCAGAATGCTCAAATAAACAAGTAAACTTCCTTAGAGAAAAACTCGCAAGTGTGCAAATTCTGGAAAATTACTGCACATGATACATTGATGGAACGGTGGAGCAAATGGAAGAACTTCTTGAACAATTTCAGGTCTCGTAGTTTGTTTTCAATTGTTGCACCATACTGCAAACAATTTGTAACATATTCCGAAAAACATCATCATGTAAACTCAAAATTTCAGTTGTAATAGCAAGAAACAAAATCTAAAAGCAATATTTTGACATTATTTCAAAGTCATTATAAAGCTAATATAGCTAAGTTTACAAGATCATGTTTTTTGAAGTATGTTTTATAATTTATTTCTTCAAATTGTCGGCTTGAAAAGGTTTTTGTAATTGTTGAACAGTTAACTTTCAAAGGCCGTAATACGTAAACCTTGATAAATTGATTTCACGCGTTAATATGCTTGAAAAGTGAAAGAGGTTTTTGAATTTAGGTAATTGATTCTATCTCGTTTGTGAAAGCTGACAACCACTCAAAAACAAGGGGCAATAAACGTTTTTCAGTTACAGGTAATCAACTCAACCGCATCACGCATCTTACCCCAAACTAAAGCGAGAAAACACCAAGAAATTTTCAACCGATGCATGAATTGGGCAGCCAAGCCTGCTACATTTCCCCCCCACTTCTTTAATATTGCATGACCAATTAACATTTTATAGTCGCAAAGACATTCCATTATCGAGTTAGAAGAATCGAAACCTTCTCGATGTTCTTCCCAAATCTGTGTATGGTATTGCGGTGATGTTGGTTAAATCTTTCATTCCCGATGTTCTTCAGCACTATTTGGATGCAAACATGCGACTGAGCAGCGCGTACTGCAAGTACAACCCATCAATCCCAGAATACTTGCACAACAGACCTCCGCACTTTTTGAAATGTTGCCTTGAAAATCGATACGCTTCAGCCATTTACAAACAGGACGACATACCTCCGGTTAATTTAAAGAAGGGCACGTTCAATGTCAAGAGCGAGAGCAATGTTGGAAAAAAACATTTCATAGACTTCCGAGAACCAAGTTGTACTTGCAACATATGGCACACTACCCATTTCCCTTGCAAACATTTTTTCGCAGTTTTTTCTTTCTATGACGAGTGGGATTTCGAAAGTCTTCCAGAAGACTACCGAAATAGCGTTTTCATCACTCTCAACAATGAACCTCTTGCATTGCCACAAGATACTACGCCAGAAGAACTAGAGGAAGCCAATACGTCATCATGGAGCACCATCAAAAGAGACGTTGTTTTGCAAAAATCATTGTCTTCTGATAACAAAAAATATATCCACGACATACCCCACGAAGAAAAAGTTAAGTTTGAAACTACTTCAAACAAAAGTTCCAAAAGGCTCAGAAAGATCTTGCAAGAACAACTGGGCCAAATACACAGTATGACCTTCCTGATCGACAACGAGACCACTCTACAAGAAGCAGTGCAAAAAGCTGAAAGCTTGAAACAGTTTCTTGAACAAAACTTTCCCACAGAAAATGGTTTGCCCCTTCGATTGAGTCCTGTGAAAAAAAAATTAAAGGTTACCGAGACAAAATACCATCAAATCTTTCATAAGGCCCTACCTCCCAGACGACGCAAGACAAAAAAATCTACACCATTTACAATAGATCTTACTAATGTGGGCGATGAAATGGCACAAGTAAGACAAGTTATTGAATTGCTTTCTTGTCATTTCTTAAAAAAGCTTCTCTCAAATGATTACTTTTATGTTTAAAAAATTTCTTATCCGTCCGAAAAGAGTAAAAAGACAAAAGCACTTATCTTACTTTCCAATATCTTATCAAAGTATAGTTTCAAAAGTAATTTTCACCAGCCATTAGATATACGATATGAAGGGCATCACCAAAATTGTGGGTTTTTGTCTTCTAAAAACCATGACCAGCCGACAATTTAAAAAAGTATAATATAAAACAAATTCCGAAGAAACAAGACATCTTGAGATTGCAAAATATGAATCAAAACAAGACGAGAAGTAAACTGTAAATTTTCGACTTTATTTCAAAGTCATCTTCAGACAGAATGATTCTGTTAATTTACAGTTTACTTCTCGTCTTGTTTTGATTCATATTTTGCAATCTCAAGATGTCTTCTTTCTTCGGAATTTGTTTTATATTATATACTTTGTCTTCTAAATCGCACTCATTTTTTGCCATACTCGAAAACAACGTTTGAAAAAGTTGTTCGTAATTCTTTAGATTACATCTCGTCACGAGTATTTTCTGAAAGTAGTCTTTTTATTTTCATAGGTGTCCACTAATGTGCAAAACCAGGAGAATGAAAAAAGAAATTCAAGCAGGTACAAACATATAGCAATAGAGAAATATTGAATGGAGAAAAATTTTCCAAAAATATTTGTGCAATGATGAGAGGGGGGTAGTAACATTTCAGTGTAGTATTTATATTTACTATGTAGTAATTATTTAATATGAGTGAGGACTATACCATTACACATAGTCCACTTTTCTTTTCCTAAATGGCAACTGTAGTGTTGACGTCTCAGCTGAGCACAAGGCAAATCCACTGGATTGCTTACTGAATGCCTCTCTAAATGGAATTAAGTTAGGTGATCAAATGCTAGAATTGGGACCAAACAAAGTTACTCTTCAGGATTTATGGACCCTCATTCCACCAAATGAGATGACTAAATATGCTGCCACACTAATTGAAAATAAAACTGTGGCACCTGGATGGCTTAGTGATACAGTAAGTCAAGTGATTAAACACTCTACAGCTTAAATATGATTATCATGCATCAGAGACAAATGTTGAAATGGTAAATGAGCCTGATTGTTATAGGTTATCAACGCTTTCTTATGGAAACTTTCATGTGAATATCCTGGTGTCCTACCAGCAGAATCATATGTATGTCAGTTGGTGCAACGAGGATCTAGTACACGTCAACTGTGGGCAGATCAAAATTTCATGGCAATTGACACAATAATATTTCCTCTCAATAGGTCTGGGAGCCATTGGACACTTTTGGTAAATACAATATGGATGCAACATAGCTAAGACAAGGCAACAAATTTTTTTTATTTTCAATATTGTCACTTTTAAAGGTAATCGACAAACAAAAAGAGATGGTATACTACCTTGATCCTATGGAAGGTCATGTAGAAGAAGTTATCAGTGAGGCAACAAGAGTTGAACTTTCACAGTTTATCAAAAGCATTTGGTAAGTATACATACATTACTTCCTTGACAAATACCAGTATTTGAAATTCCAATTCAATGAATCACTTCAATGTCTTGAATACACACAGCAACATTGATATAGTGCAGTTGATAATATATTCCCTTTGTTTATAAAGTGCCCTTGTTGATCTAAAAAGTGGGTGGAACACATCAACTTGGTCTATTATTCAGCCTTCACACTATGTGCAAGAGGATGGGTTTAACTGTGGAATAATTATTTGCCTGGTAGTTGTTTTGACATTGTGTTCTAAGAAATAACAATTTAAAAAAAATCCCTTTTATTTTTATCATTTCAGTTTGCTGAATATCTGAGTCAAAATCTTGACATAAATGCAAAGTTTGACATGAGAAAAGTGAGGCAGCACATGACTTCAACGATTATGGGTTCTTGCTATGATGACATTTATGAGTAATAACAAAAAAATTATATTTTTTTATATATTTTAATAAAAGGGGCAAATAATAGATTTTATTTAATTGACAAAAATATTAAACTAGACAAAAACATGAAACTAGACAAAAACATTAAAGTCGTGATTTATTTGTTGGAATTATCCATAAAATCAATGTGACATTTGTATTGTAATAAATTGTGTGCTTGATTACTATACCATAAATAAAATGTGTAAAATTTATTTTATTAGGAGAAATAGTTTGGTATGCAAGATTTGCAAGATGGTGAAGACTGGTAGGGATGTGATTCATGTGGGCAGTACTTTCATGCAAGTTGTTTGAATGTTGACTTTGGACAAACTCTGACAGAGTACTTTGCTTGCCCATAATCGTATAATAATACAAAACATAAATTGTAAGATTTAAAAGTGCCGAATAAAAAAGACTTACCGATTAGAATACTTTTGAGCATCATCAATATCTTTTAGAACATATTACAAGCAAGCTCAATAACAAAGAATAATATACTTCACAATGCGCGTTTGCAGTAACATTCGTTATAAAAAAGACCGCATATTTTGTAAAAGCCAAATGAACATATAATACAATGTGGGCGCTGTGCTGAATACTTTGTGTTGATTTGTGTTACGAAACTTTATACAAGAAACATATTGTACTTATAGCGATTATTATGTCAAGGCTTTTGCCGCCGATTAGGAAGTTAATAGGCGCGTCCCCGATCATCGCCCGGGTTATAGCAAACCCCCTCACTAGTTCGTGCTTCAAATTGATCGTGACCCATTGTAAGAAGTATTTTTCGTACGTGAACGTGTTTTCTCGGCTTATGTTCCGACTCTGTAACAAGTTTTCAAGATCTTTAAGCTTGGTGGCAAGCGGCAATGTTATCCTGGCATCAGTTTTATCAAATACTAGGACAAGACTTTGTTCGAAACTTTGAATCATAGTAATCATGCAGATTTAGTCCGGAGAGATTTGTGTTCAAGATTTGTAACAATTTAATGGTAGTGAGTGATTTATGCCCCCAATTTAATCCAAGCATGATATTTTTTATTCTGAAAGATCACAAAATTTTCTTGCTCAGCAGAAAATGACAGACTTTTTTACTTTTAGTTATTGAAATATGCAATGATTTGACCAAGATGCATTTGACCTTAAACGTTTTATTCCTGTATATGAAGTTATTTCGCCTTTATCACTTTATAAAGTATTAAAGTTTATTTCTAATAAAGTTTGTTAGGGATTCTGCTGAAAATTTTGGTGAAGCATTTCTTTAAATTGAATATATTATTTCTATAATATGAAACATTTCTGTTGTTGAAGAACAGTCTGTTTGCTATAAATGCTACTGTTTGTAGTCTTTTAAACAGCATATGAGTCTGATCCAATCTTTAATTTAGCAAAGAGTTAAATTTATTGGTTGAGGAATGACAAAACTTCTATATGTGTTTAATGATCAAACACGGGTGTGTTGGAGGGAGCTCAGCCCCGTTTGTTCAAATTCTATGCCTTGTATTGCCAGTGAAATATATATATCAAAAAGCTAGCAGCACCTAAATATATATCAGAAAGCCGGCAATATTTTAATATATATGAGAAAGGCAGCAACAGTTGTAATATACATTAAAAGCCCAAATAGCTGAAATTATGGAGATATGCCTCTGTGATCTTATAAACCAAAACCTACAATTAAAATATCATCAACAAGTCTAGAAGAGAAGTAATGTTCTACTTTGAGCTACAGAAGTAGGGTACATTTGTACAATTCAATACCAAAAATATATTGTACTCAGCTGTTTCATTGAATATCCTAATTATAATTACTTCATTTTTAATTGATGAACTAAAAATACAAAATACAACATGGAAAATCATAAGAGTTTCTGTGATTTGGTGTAGTTGTTTTAGTATGGAAGTGGCTGAGAATTGAGAGGTTTGTAGATTGACCAATTTCAGAACATAATGAGAAATCATCTTCGATTAAAAAACAAGCTTTGGAGTAAGAAAACTATTGAAACTGCATCAGCACGAACTTTGCAATGTTATTTGGCCCAAAAATGTTTCTCTACTTGAGTCAGTTAATTGAACCTTATATCAAAAGCAGTTCAGCACAACAATCACCATACGCAATCAAATTTCGTAAGTTCGACGTAAAGGCATTTCTTTCATTTTTTTTTGTAATCCTCGATTTATGCGATATGTAATGACATTTAGTAGCCTTCAACAATCAGTTATTACACACTTATCCATAAAAAACGCAATATTATCTCAAAATACTGTATTACTAGCAGCAATTGCTATATAAACACAAGCTAAAATTTCAAAACTAGGAACCAAAATGGCGGAAATTGATCAGGTGATCAATATTGCCCAATCAACGTAAGCTAAACGGATAACAATAGATGTCCCAACTCTTATACTATAGAGGGCTCTGCGTAAACCTGTAGACGAAGTGGGATCGCAAAGCATTATGCAACACGATGTAAAAAGTTCGCCATACTGTATATGAAAATTGGAACACGATGTAAAAAGTTCGCCATACCGTGTATGAAAATTGGAACGCTATAAATTTTGACGATACGATACAAGAAGTTTCCAACGTATATGAAAAGTTTAGAATGTCCTACAGCAAGTTTCGCATATATTTTTTAGATTTGTCTCGAAGTATATAAAGTTTGCCATGTATAATTTTAGTATGTTATTTAGTATTGTAAGTTTAGAATAAAGTCCAATTTGGCGCCTCATACACTCGGACATCTAGCAAAAGTAGGCGCATTCGGAAACTTCTTACGAAGATGATTTCCGACACCCGAGGCTTATTTTTCGTATTGCGTGGATTCTGCATGTATGTGAGGGATAAATATCGCTGCATAAAATAAACTGATAGACAAATGGTCGTGGTATTTTGAACAGACTATTGATCTAACCAAACTTAAAGGTAAGCGCAGTATATTGTAGTATAATATATATTTATAATATTGACATGTTATTCGACATAGTTGCATTCAAGTAAACAAAGACAAATGGTCTCCTGTGATTCTTAATCATTATTGTGATCAACAAAATGGAAATGTATAGCAGTTTAGAATTTAAAAATTTTATACCATTACACATTTATTTAACTTTAAATGTGTTGAAACCTGAAAGCATAAAGCAAATTAAAGCACAATTTATTTTGAAATTATTTTGCCCACTGGTATTACATATGTAAGCTCTCCATCACTTGTTCTACAGTATAAACAAATCTTTTTGTTAGACGATGGTTTGATATCACTTTATGTACTAAATTTTTGACATATTTTTTATAGAATATAATCTTGCCAATTGTGTTTTATGATTTGCATGTGCCAGTGGCAATTTGTTAACAACATATTCATGTCGTATAAAGGGAAAATCAGTAATAGTCATTTTACATTATATATGTAACATTTTTAATGTTCAAGGTAACTAAGTAACCAAGGAAACTAATTACCATCTTAGATATATATTACATATTTGTAAAATAAAATCTACAAGTTTTTGCTGTCGCTATTTGTAGATATTTGTATATATATCAAAAATGGAAAGTTGCTATTAGTCACCTTGAACATTGAAATATTGATAAAGTGGTTACTTTTTGTGTGTGCATGCACACATGAATGTACATGCACATATATATATAAGCACGAAGCACCAAGTCGAAAGCTCAATAAATCATTAATAAAAATCCAGAGAAACTCTTACAATTGAATACAAAATATAACAATTCTCTCTATAGTTACAACTTTGAGTTTCCACTAAAGCATTTTATTCTTTTGATTCATTATACGCATTTTGGACACTTCCAAGTGACATTTGTCTTGTGGAAAACTGAATCTGGCATTTTTGGTGAACACTTTTTGTGGAACCACTCAAAGCATTTGTCACACTGAGTACACCATAGGTTTGGGTTTTCAAGATCTTTCTGGTTCCATGGCATTCGACAGTGGCACATCAGTGAAAATTTCAATTTCCTTTGGATTTGACTCTTGTCATCAATTTTCCTTTTCTTTGTCGAAGGGAAAGGAGTGAACTCATATTTTTTCAAACAACTCAACAAGTGTGTTCGCATGGAACCTTCATTATACGTCAAACTTGTTGGATCTTGGTTAAAAAGTAATGACACAAGAAATGCAATTGCAAACACCCCACAGTCAACGTAATTGGATTGATAGTGGACATGTGGTATGTTGATTGTGATTGATGGTGATGGCTCATGGAGTAGGTTGGCAATTTGTTTTTTTGTTAAAGAACTGACTCTTCCATTGTACAAACTGTCATATAAATTGACTGAAGCAGGCTGACACTCAATATTTGAAACCAATATCCAGTGATGAGTACCTGTGTGGAGAATCTGGAAAAAAGTACCCCGATGTACAGAATAATTGGTAACAGGGCCAAGTGTTGTGTTTTCTAAACCAAGTACGACAGGAAATTGTTTCTGCAAAACATTATGCAGCACCAATGATGTGATCTGTTAACTCTTTTCTGGTGATGATTATATTTATGTCAATGGCACTAAATAATTCGACGTATCTGTAAAATTAGACAAGAATTTCCAACGTTGTTGCTGCTAAAATACTAGCCCTAACAGCAGCAGCGAATTCCCCAGCCCGTTTTTTGTACCTCTACAAATCATATATTTTTGTGTTTAATCAATGCAAAGACAATGAATGGCATAGAATTTCTAAAGAAATTAACAATGATTTTGCTGGGAAATCTGGTTTGTTGGAAGAAAAGATCGGGCTGGCTTCGCCATCGCCTAAGAGACTTTTTCAAGTAAATATATAATGTAAAATGACAAATACTGATTTTCCCTTTATACTACATGAATATGTTGTTAACAAATTGCCACTGCCACATGCAAATCATAAAACACAATTGGCAAGATTATATTCTATAAAAAATATGTCAAAAATTTAGTACATAAAGTGATATCAAACCATCGTCTAACAAAAAGATTTGTTTATACTGTAGAACAAGTGATGGAGAGCTTACATATGTAACCAGTGGGCAAAATAATTTGAAAATAAATTGTGCTTTAATTTGCTTTATGCTTTCAGGTTTCAACACATTTAAAGTTAAATAAATGTGTAATGGTATAAAATTTTTAAATTCTAAACTGCTATACATTTCCATTTTGTTGATCACATGTTGTTCGTCCATCGCAAGCGATGATGACCTTGACCAGTTAACTCAAGTACTAGAAGATTGGGTACGGTGAGTTCTGAGGTGGCTAATGAGCCCAATCTTGAAATTGACTATCATCTTAATGTAGACAGTAAAGAAAAAAAGAGATAAAGAAAAAGATAAAGAAAAAGAAAAATCATGTCAAAAAAAAGAAATTGAAGAAGGAAGAAAAAAATGCAAATTATTTCAAATAATGAAATAATGAAAGTAGTATATTTCATTCAAAAATTGGT